AATGAAATCTCTATGTAATATTAATTTGCTACATCCTTGAAGAAGAGTTCAGATATTCAAACAAAAATGGCTTTAAGTTAAAGAATACATTAACAGAGACCCAAAGAGAATCAAGCACTTTAGAAATAACATAAGGCAAAAATTAAGACAACATGGGTGAAGGTCAGAAGATGTTGACAAGTCATGTTAAAATAATCTTTTCCAAAATCACACACACACACGTATGGACACACTCAAGTTAAACTTCAGTTTTACAAGAAGAAACTAATTTTTCACAGATACAGAACATAATTTTTAAAGAAATTATTAGTCTTTTGTACAATTAGTGACTTAAATTGTGTTGTTCCTCTTTATAGGTATTATAATTTTGTATGTGTAATTTCATTCTAGACTTAAATAAAATATCCCCCTCAGGTTCAGCTGCCTTCCCTTTTCCCCGTATTTTCTCATTTCACACTTTTCACTCTTCTATGATGAGATTAAAAGCTTCAATATGCAACATGCTCACTTATTTTCTTTATTCACACTTGATCATTTCTTTCTTCTGATCTCCGAGTAAAGGAAAATAACATATTCTTAATGGGTTATCTAGGGAAAAGCACAGAGAAGGCAATGGCACCCCACTCCAGTGTTCTTGCCTGGAGAATCCCAGGGACGGCGGAGCCTGGTGGGCTGCCGTCTATGGGGTCGCACAGAGTTGGACACGACTGAAGCGACTTAGCAACAGCAGCAGCAGGGAAAAGCAACCAGTAGGAAGAAGAGACACTGGTCTACAGGAGGCCTACGTCAACCCTGACTTTGGGAGTGCATGCCCCACAAGGAAGAGATGGAATGGAAAAACCAAGATGGCAGAGTCAGAACCGCAAACCTAGTAGTGTGATAGTTTCCCAGGAGTTTGCAAGCCAGAGAGCCAGAGATATGATACTCTGATTTCCCACAAACTGAAATAAGATTTGAGTTTAGGTTAACTCCTGCTTATCTTTGATTGGAACAGTGCAGCATGTACTATCCACAGGTTGATAATAGGAAATACACATAATACTAAAATCTGAAGTCATAAACAGGAAAAGCACCCACCTCTACGCAGAACTGATTACACTGCATTAAGACAGGCTCTGATGAGGGAAAGCCATTGAAAAGTCAAGTCAAAAAAAAAAAAAGGCATAACTATAAAGCTCCAAGGAAGGACCAATAATCAAAGATCACATCTGATCAGAAACAATGCTGAGTCAATCCTTTTCTGAGTCCCAGCAGCAAAGCCCATTTTGACAAAAGAGAACAAGGATACTGCTTGGTCTGTTAAGACAGAGGTGAATCATTTCAAATTTTCATTTTAAAACAAGACAAGAAGGGGAAGAAGTAATGTAGGTCCAGTATGCACCCAAATAGGAAGTAGCCACATAGTGGACACCTTGAAGCTTTTACACCGTCAAACACATCTACCTGTATTCTCAAGAGGCAAATTCTCTAAGAAGTCATCTGCAGCCCACAGCATCTCTTTCAGTGCAGAGAGGACCAGGACATCTATGACAGGCTCCAGTTCCCACTCTGAGGTATAATTACTAACCACAAAGATGTCAGAAAGAACGAATCCAAGTTTTCTGTGAACTGCCTCTAGCTGCAATAGAGAATGTAAAGCCCAGAAATCTTAAAATAGTGAAAAATACAATTTTATGTCAATATAAATTATGAAAGCACTAACATATAGTAAGGACTTGACAATGCTTTTGCTGTTGGAGAATGTAGAGACAGAGATCTGGCCCCATAAAGGGGTTTCTTCGAGAACTTCACAAGTCAAGTTCTAACATCATTGCTAATTTTCATTTAGAATACACATAATAAATTCGATATGAATGAGAAGTGAAAGGTACCCAATAGTTTCATACAAACTACACTGAAATTCAAGCATTTTAACACCTTTATATTAGAATCTATCATTCCTTTAACTTCCTTTTTAAATTTCTTTTCGATTTTTATTCATTTATTTTTGGTTGTGCTAGGTCTTTGCTGCTTTGCACAGACTTTCTCTAGTTGTAGCGAGTGGAGGTTACCCTCTCTTTGAAATGCGCAGCCTTTTCATTGCAATGGCTTCTCTTGTTACAGAGCGCGGGGCGTTAGGCACACGAGCTTCAGTAGTTGCATCCCATGGGCTCAGCCGTTGCAGTGTGAGGGCCCTAGAGAGCGCAGGCTCCAGTAGCTGTAGCATTCAGGCTCAGTAGTTCCAACACATGGGCTTGGTTGCTCCAGGACATGTGGGATCTTCCTGGACCAGGGATCAAACACAAGTTCCCTGCATTGGCAGGTGGATTCTAATCCAATGTACCACCAGGGAAGTTCCTTTTCAGTTTCCTTTTAACGGTTATTCTCAGGATAATTTAATGTTATGCTTAATTCAGGCTTAGCCTAGTTTATTTGTGGAACCACACTTCCTAGGTTCAAAATAAGACTCTCTCACCTCCCAGCACCATCAGTAAACTAGTAATTGTTTTACTCTGTATGCTTCTGTTTCCTTATCTATCAAATGTGGTAATGACAGTGCCCATCTCATAAAGTTGTTATAAAGTATTGAATAAGAAAACACATCACATGCTCAACGGGCTTCCCTGTTGGCTCAGTGGTAAAGAATCTGTCTGTAATGCAGGAGACCCGGATTCAATCCCTGGGTCAGGAGGATCCCCTGGAGGAGGATCAACCAACTCCAGTATTCTTGCCCTGAGAATCCCCATGGACAGAGGAGCCTAGCGGTCTACAGTCCATGGGGTCACAGAGTCAGACATGACTGAAGCCACTAGGCAGCAATAGTGCTCAACAAACATTAACTGTCTTTACTTCCTCCCAACTATGGTTCCCACCTCCAGGTTCCCTCGACTCTGCACATGGGTGGCAGATTTTTATTGGCTTAACTTTGGTCATACCATTGCTCTTTCAAAAAAAATTGCTACAATTCCATATAATGCACCTAATTAATAGAATCATCTCATGCAAATGGAACTTCCTCACTCTCTCTACCACTCCAAGGATTCAGCCCTCCCCTAAACTAAACAGTGCCATGCTTCCCATACACACTACCTTTTGCTTCATTGATGCATTGACTTATGCTGTCCCTCGGGCCTCAGATTTTCCCCTTTTGGTCCCTTCACTTCCTGAAATGCTCCTCCTCAGTATCAACCCAGTAATGAAATCATTCCCCTCTCCTTTAATATACTATTTTCCCTTCTCTAAACTTTCAAAGCATTTATTTTTAATCATTTCTGTTTATCACACTCAATCATATCATATTCTTTTGTCAATTTATTCTTATCCTACCACCTCCCCCAGTCTCTTTACCTCTTCCTACAAAATTATAAGCTTTTTTAGTGCAGGGAAATTATTTTTATTACCTCTGTATTTGATTGGAGACGGTCATATCTGCTTGATCATCAAGGTAATTGATATAAGTTGAATAGAATCTAACTAAGTTAAGTTGTAATGAATGGAAATATCTGTGTCAGTGTAAAGATAAATATAAATTTAATTTTTAAAAATTGGAAAATGAGCCTGAGTTATCCCAAGCAATTGTTTTAATTCTTCTTAAACTCAGTAGGTGTTTGTTTTTACTTTTATACACAGTAATATGTGATTAGAGTGACATAATACCCCAGAAAATGTGTTTACAAATGGCATCACCCATTACCTTAAGTTTCACAAGCACACATTTGTATATGTCTATGAGGTCAGCTTTTGTAATCAGATCCAAGGTATCCACATGAGTGAGCAACACCACATGGACCACATCTATGCCAAAAAGATCCATATTATTTTTATTATTAAAGACAACACCAATATTTTTCATTTGATCAGCTATCAATTATGCAATATGCTATCTATGGAGCAATTCCAGAGACTTGAAAAGATTCCGTATCCCCCACAAAAAATGTCCCCCTTAACTACTCATTCATACTCGGAATTCGTCTAACAGAGGAAATACCCTTCATTGCCTCTTATGGGAAAAGACAAGACTTAAAAGAAACTCCCTCTTGGAAGAGGTAACTAAAATGTATGCTGTAGCATTATTAATTGATTTTACATCCTATCCAAACATTTGCATTTTTATGGAGATTAGAGAAAACCAAAAGAACTCTAACACACAAGATGGGGGAAAAGACGCCTCAAGAAGGAGATGGAATTTTAGCAATCACCTCACTGCGCACCACCCTTGAAAGCTTTTAAATTTCAGTGAACAAGTAAATCAATCATTCCCTGCTTCTAACTTAATCAAAGTTGTGACAAATTGGCTCATCTGCAAACAGAATGAATAACAGGGCCTAGAAAAACTATTAAGGCACCCTAATTCCCTAATCCTATTTACCTTCTCCAAAGCCTTGATGCTACCTCTCCCACTAAACATCTTACTTTCCTACATCTTTTTCTTACTGAAATGTTCTTTTCCATTTTCTAATCCTTTAAAAAACAAAGGGGAATTTAGGATTCTTGGTAAATAAACACATGCTAGAATGCCAAGGTAGCAGGCAGTGAGGATTATAGTAATCTCTTCATCTATATTGATTTGTTTAATCTTTGTAATAAATCTCTGAGGTAGGCTCTATGATTACACTACAATTTTATAGATCAGAAAATTGAGGTACAAAGTCACTCAGCTTGTAGGGATTAATTTGATTGAATCACACTGATTAGCCAGAGGAATATTCATCTCTGAGGGCTTCCCAGGTAGCTAGTAAAGAACCCGGCTGCCAGTGAAGGAGACATAAGAGACGTGGGTTCAACCCCTGAGTTGAGAAGATCCCCTGGAGGAGGGAGTGACAACCCACTCCAGTATTCTTGCCTGGAGAGTCCCATGAACAGAGGAACCTGGTGGGCTACAGTCCTATGGAATCAGACACAACTGAAGTGACTTAGCACACACACATTCACATATGCAGTTTCTTAAGTTCTTTATCCTGTCCCCAGACTACCCAACAATATAATCAATTGCCTTAGAAGTAAAGTGGAAAGAGACTCACCAGACTTAATCAACTCCCTTCGAATTCTTTTGATCTTTTTCACCATCTGATAGGAGAGCTGTTCAACAGAGTTGGCATTGAACACAAATGCCACACAATGGACTCTGTCCTCCAGCAATGGGCAGCCTGTATGGTTACCAATACCTTTTGGCATTAGTTTCAAGGAATTAAACTGTAAAGTAAACATAAAGCAACATATTAATTCAATGAATCACACTCCACACCAAGCACAGTTCAAGTGACTGAAACTGAACCAAACAGGCATGTCTCTAACATTAAAGAGCTACCGATGTGGTAGAGAAGACAGTTGTTATGCAATTAGATAGCTGTCCTTTCACATGGTCAGGTAAAGCTTCTGTGAGGAAGGGTCATATACTCAGAAAGCTAAAATGTTGGGGGGAGTTAGTCTGATAAAGGGAATAAGGAGATGGTAGAGACCATTCGAGATAGAAGCAGCAATGTGGATAAAGGTGGAAGTGAAAGCATTCAGAAATCTGGTATCATCAGAATACAAGGGGGAAAGTGATTCAAAATAGGATGTGTTTACTCTTGAAATTCCTCTGGTGGGAATCTGTCCTACATATATACTAGCAAAATACAAAGTGACATATATACAAAACTATTAACTTCAGGACTATTTGTAGTGGCAAAAAATCTGATTCATCAATGACATATAGTATTCTATCACCTCTCTAAGAAAGGAGAAACCACAAATAAGCTATAAATTTTTATATGGGTACTTATAAGAAAAGAGGAGGAATATATTTTATGAGTCAGAGAAAAGATGGATTCTTTGAGTACACCCTCTTTTCTAGATTTGACCTTGTATAGATGATAAACATAAATATAAAACTAAATTTTAGAAGCTATCCTTAACTTTAAACAAATAAGCTTTTATAGCCAGTGGGATCATAACCACGCAGAGATATACAATTTGATTGACTTGAAAACATAGTCATTTGTATATTTCTGCTACATATTTCCTAAATTGAATATAAAAATCTGCTAAAATACTTTGTTTCCATCTTTAATTGTGTTTATATTATGTTAGTATTAAATATGATCATGATTAGATTGTTCATAGTAGTAATAGAAATTTTGCTCTGAGACCACAGTGAATATTACATGCAATAAAGCAAATGAGCTGTGACAAGATATTCTGCCAACTCTGATGTACTTAAGAATAGGGATTCTCTGCTTAGAAGAAATCAGATACAAATGTAAGATTGTTGTTCAGTGGCTAAGTCATATACAACTCTTTGTGACCCTGTGGACTGCAGCACACCAGGCTTTCTTGTCCTTCACTATCTCCCAGAGTTTGCTCAAGCTCATGTCCATTGAGTCAGTGATGCCATTCAACCATCTCATCCTCTGTCACCCCACTCTTCTCCTCCTACCCCTAATCTTTCCCAGTATAAGAGTCTTTTCCAATGAATAGGCCCTTCACATTAGATGGCCGAAGTTTTAGCACTTCAGCTTCAGCATCAGCCCTCCCAGTGAATATTCACAGCTCATTTCCTTTAGGATTATGTAAAATAGAAGAGATTAAGTAAGAATTTGAATGGAAAGTTTCTGCATGAATTCATAATATATTTTATCATAAGTACATATATTATATATGTATGTGTGGCGGGGGGTGGGGGGGGGGGTATCTTAGCCCTGTCTACAGAAAAGGGCAAGAACCAGTAGCCAACTAAGAAGCAATCAACAGTTCTAATGACCCAAGCAAAGACTCCTTAGAGAAATCACTGATTTAAAATCTAGAACTGGAAATATATACAATGTGGCTTGAATATCTAGTATATCATAAATAAGAAATATAGAAAAATTTTCAGGTTTCTGTCAAAAAAAAAAAATCACTCAGTATCCAAAATGTAGACGTTTCCACTTGTCAAAAATGGTACATTTGGCATCAAAATGGAGAAAAACATAGTAAATAGAAACATATCAAGTATGTTCAATTCATGAGTTCATATGGATAATAAAATAATAAATGGCAATAGTTGGCAGATACAAAGAGCTAACTCACTGTTTCAAAAGTTTGTAAAAAAGAGAAAAAATGGAGCATACATTTCTACCTTTCCTATATAAGCTCTACCACTAAATAATCTAGTAATAGAAGAGGGGAAGTTTCTCTTTCATATGTGAAATGAAGGAGCGATAGAAAGAGAATATCACTATTTTCACACTGCAGTAAAGGACCCAGACATTGAACACTGATGAATACCTACATTAGAGAAATGACAAAACCCAAAGTTGTATGCCTCTTCATGAAAGGACACAGCACCACCTATGAAGCAGAAGCTGAATTTAAACATGCCACAGGCATGGTTCAGCATGCAGCAAAGTTCAGACTATAGGTTAGTCTAGAAAACAAACAACTAGATTTCTTAAAAAATTAATTTCAAAGAAGAATACCAGAAGATATAGAGGCAGAACATATGGACTAAAAGAGGCTGCAGAGATTTATTTGAATAATGTTTCTAACAAATTGTTAAAAAAGATGCATGCTAAAGAGAAATGGGTAATAGTTTGCAAATTAAGAACAAGTATAACTTTTAGATGTGATAAGCATATTATGGCTATATTTAATAAAAGACACATATGTGCCATGAGTGTACATATTATATATATATGTTTATATACATACATATATAAAAAATTTGACATGTTAGATATAAATTAAATATATATATTTTAATAACAAATTTTAAATAGATATATTTATTCAAATAAAAGTGAAAGTGTTAGTCTCTCAGTCATGTCCAACTCTAGGGAATCCCATGGACTGTAGCCTGTGAGGCTCCTCTGTGCATGGAATTCTCCAGGCAAGAATACTGGAAAGAGTAGCCAGGAAATAGTGGAAAGGAGTGGCTACTCCTTCCTCCAGGAGATCTTTCTCACCCAGAGGTCAAACGTGGGTCTCCTGCATTGAAGGCAGATTCTTTACCATCTGAGTCACCAGGAAGACTGGAGATCTTGTCAAGAAAATTGGAGTGATCAAGGAAAAAATTCATGCAAGGATGGACGTGATAAAGGACAGAAATGGTAGTACCTAACAGAAGCAGAAGAGATTAAGAAGATGTGGGAAGAGTTCACAGAAGAACTATACAAAAAGGGTCTTAATGACCCAGATAATCACAACAGTGTGGTCACTCACCTAGAGTCAGACATCCTGGAGTGTGCAGTCAAGTAGGCCTTAGGGAACATTACTACAGACAAAGCTAGTGGAGGTGATGGAATTCCAGCTGTTATTTCAAATCCTAAAAGATGATGCTGTTAAAGTGTGACATTCAATATGTCAGCAAATTTGGAAAACTCAGCAGAGGCCACAGGACTGGAAAAGGTCCTTTTTTAATCCAATTCCAAAGAAAGGCAATGCCAAAGAATGTTCAGATTACTGTACAGTTGCACTTATTTCACATGCTAGCAAGGTAATGCTCAAAATCCTTCAAGCTAGGCTTCAGCAGTAGGTGAACCAGATACACAAACTGCATTAGAAAAGGCAGAGGAACCAGGGATCAAATTGCCAACATTCTTTATATCATAGAGAAAGCAAGGGAATTCCAGAAAAATATCTACTTCTGTGTCACTGATTATGCTAAAGGCTTTGATTGTGTGGACCACAACAAACTGTGTAAAATTCTTAAAGAGATGGGAATATCAAACCACCTTACCTGTCTCCTGAGTAACCTGTATGCAGGTCAGACATTGAACAACAGGCTGGTTCAAAATTGGGAAACAAGAACATCAAGGCTGTATATTGTCACCCTGCTTATTTAACTTCTATGCTGAGTACATTATGCAAATGCCACACTAGATGAATCACAAGATGGAATCAAAATTGCCAGGAGAAATATCAACAACCTCAGATATGCAGATGACAACACTCTAATGTCAGAAAGTAAAGAGGAACTAAAGAGCCTCTTAATGAGAATGAAAGAGGAGAGTGAAAAAGCTGGCTTAAAACTCAACATTCAAAAAACTAAGATCATGGCATCAGTCCCATCACTTCATGACAAATAGAAGGGGGAGAAAATAGAAGCAGTTATATATTTTTCTTTCCTTGGGCTCCAGATCACTGTGGAGTGCAGTGATGCAGCCATGAAATTAAAAGACACTTGCTCCTTATAAGGAAAGCTATGACAAAACTAGACAGCATATTAAAAAGGAAAAATATTCCTTTGTTGACAAAGATTCATATAGTCAAAGCCATGGTTTTTCCAGTAGCCATGTATGCATGTAAATGTTGGACGGTAAAGAAGATGGAGTGCCGAAGAAAGAATGGATGCTTTCAAGTTGTGGTGCTGGAGAAGACTCCCGAGAGTGCCTTGGACTGCAAGGAGATCAAACCAGTCAATCCTAAAGGAAATCAACCCTGAATATTCATATGGAAGGACCAATGTTGAAGCTGAAGCTCCAATACTTTGGCCAACTGATGCAAAGAGCTGATTCATTGGAAAAGACTCCAATGCTTGGAAAGATTGAGGGCAGGAGGAGATGGGGACAACAGAGGATGAGATGGTTGGATGGCATCACTGACAGGATGGACATGAGTTTGAGAAAACTCCAGGGGATAGTGAATGACAGGGAAGCCTGGCGTGTTGCAGCCCACGAGGTCCCAGAGGGTCAGACACAACTTATCAAATGAACAACAACAACAGCAACATATATTTAAAGGCATATTCACTTATGGGTGAAATGTTATGACTTCTCATATTTTATTCCAAATAATACAGGAGAGAAGAATGTGGCTTGACATAGATGAATCAAGATTGGCTATAAATAAAAAAATTGTTGAAGCTATGTAAATGAAAATTTGTTAAATAGTTTTGTCCACTTTTACATAAGTTTAACATTCTCTATATAAATATTTCTTTTAAAGAATATTTTAAAATAAGCTTAGCTACCTCTGTAAGATAACTTGACACTAAAGAATGAAAGAACCTTGCATGAATTTAAAAATAAAGTATTTTCTGTTTCTGGATAAAAATACTGGATGTGTAAAGATGTATATTGACATGCAATGTAAAATTTTCACATCATCCCAATCAAAGCAACAAAAAATCAAACACAGAAACAACCAAATAAAGCACAAACAAGTTCATTTGAAAAATTGTATGTATGAAATAGTCAAAAATCTGTGAGAAATGATAATGAATGATGTATCCAGTGAGTTATCAAGACACAATTTATTGTCATAGAAATTAAAACAATTAGACAATATAATAAAAACAATATCACAGAGGAATTGAAATATATATTAATAGGACAAACTATGGAATAAAAAGTAATACATACACTTAAAATGAAAAATAGGCAAAGACATTCAATGAAAGATGTTGGCAGATTTGGCTATTCATTTGGAACAAGATGAATTAATAATTAACTTAAGATCTAAATGTTTATAGAAAGGAATGGGAAAGTTAATTTGTTTTTTTTAAAGGCTGACTGAAGTAGTTCTTCTCTTTAATATTTTCCTTTTTCTTGCCTGGAATATTGACAGTGCTTAGCATGATCATCTTGAGAACACAAAGATTAAAACCATATATCTTAGTCATCCTGGCCTGCTGTCACAGGTTAAAGAGAAAAACCTTTATTTCTCATAGTTCTGGAAGCTAGGAAATCCAAGATCAAAATGCTAGTAGATTTGGTGTGTGGTGAGAGCCACCTTCTTGCTGTGCCCTCATATGGCTTCTAGAGAGGCCATCTCTTGCGTCCTTTCTTACAAGGGTACTAATTACATTTATGAGGGTTTCATTGTCATGATCTAATCACCTCCGAAATTCTCTACCCTCAAACCTCAACACGTTATGGATTAAGCCTTCAACATATGAATGTGGGGTTGGGAGGGCAAACATTATGCCTTACGCTGAGGGATCTCAGAACCAAAAGTCAGAAGGACTCTTGAAATTAATATCCTGCCACACTGGCCCAAACCTGCCTACCTTCAGACTTCCTGTTACATAAGAAAAATCACCCATGTGAGTATATTGATGTAGTTAGATTTCTGTTTCACATAACCAAAAGCAAGCCAACATGAAAGGGCGCTCGTGGTTATAACAGCTATGACAAGAATCCTCTGGATGCTTTGTGCGCTGTCACTTCAGTTGTGTCTGACTCCTCATGACCGTGTGGACTCTATCCTCTGTCCGTGGGAATCTCCAGGTAAGAATACTGGAGTGGGTTGCCGTGCCCTTCTCCAGTGAATCTTCCCAACCCAGGGATGGAACCCAGGTCTTTTGAGTTTCCTGCACTAGCAGGCAGGTTCTTTACTACTAGTGCCACCTGGGAAGCCCCTTGGATGTTTTAATTCTTTATAAAATAAAATATCAAAATGCAGAAAAGGATCATGAACAAGTATATTTTAATACAGTAAATCCCAACACACTAGAGTCTGATATTGTCAATTGTGGGCAAAAATAGACATTTTAAGTATCAATTTTACATTCTCAATAATTAGCTAGATCATACCTGGTATCTGTCAGGAAAATGGCCTTCTAAGATATAGGGTATGTCATCCATGTCCAGGCCTTCCTTCTCACTCAGCCCCATTGAGTCCCACGGAATAAGTGGCAGAGTGCTGTTATCCTTCGCATCCTTAATGAAATATGTTCTGTACTGCAGAGGGAAAAAAGTAGCTTTAAGAGCTCACTTAAAAAAAAGACTGTAAATTGAAATGAACTCTATGTGTAATTAAACTGATCAGCAAAAGGCATTTCAAATCTAGTTAACTTGAATAAAGAAGCAAAGGCTGAGTGATCTAGCATGGACTCACCTTTTCAGATGTCCCGGTTGGATTAGAACCCACCAAAGCCTGGTTCGTTACATGGCCTCAGAAAATAGACTTCACTGAGTTGACAAAGCTAGACTTCCCAGCTCCAACTGGACCCAGAAGCAGAATCTGAATTTTGTGAACCAGGCCTCCATATGGTACGTAATTTCTGATAGCACACAATAGGCTCTCCTTGAGCCTGTTTAGATAAGACAAGTTTAACAGTTGACTAAGGTTAAATCATTAGACTCTACCATAAATTTTCCTAGAATTCAGTCTCTTTTCTTCTTCTATGTTATTATTTATTTCTAACTAGCAACTTGTATACAAAGACATGAAACTATCTTATCTCAAATCCTATTGTAAAAGAAGTAAAAGTAAAAATAACAGTTTTAACTAAAACCAATCAGACATAAAGTTTTGGACTTAAGTATATATAAATCTTGGAATAAACAGCAATTATGTTAAGCAAGAAGATAAATTATCAATAATAGACTTCAAAAACCACAACACAATATGTGACTTTTGAAGTTTATAGACGTAGATGGTTTCTAACATGTTCTTGAAGTTTGTCATAAGTATTCCTGTCCTGCCAACCACCCCTGCCCTGAAATAGTTAAAACTGTAGCTCTAAGAATTCTAAGCAAAAATACAGACATTCAGCCAAATAATAATTTCCCTTTAATATATAAAAACATTAGAAATGCCTTTCAGTGCTCTTTTTGCTTTAACATTGAAATTATGAAATATTTTGTGATTATAGATACAGTTTGTTCTTTGTGAGGCACAAGTTATAAGCTATAATTTACACTACCAATTTTATTGACAGACTGTACAGTAGAATAGGGTTTTCCAGGTGGTGCTAGTGGTAAAGAACCTGCCTGCCAATGCAGGAGACATAAGAGACACAGGTTCAACCCCTGAGTCAGGAAGATCCTCTGGAGGAGGACATGGCCAACTCACTCCAGTATTCTTGCCTGGAGAAACCCATGGACAGAGGAGCCTGGTGGGCTATAGTCCACAAGAGTCACAAAGAGTTGGGCATGACTGAAGAGACTTAAAGGAGGAAAGGAGAGTAGAATAAGTTTCAGATAATGAACAGAATAATAGAACATTAAAAACACTGACTTACTCAGTAATCCCACTCATCCTCCTTTCGTCCAATAAATCTAGAGAAATAATCAAAGAATAATGAAGATTACAGGTTGTTGAATGATTGGAACTGAATGAATGTCAATGAAGTCACTAGAAAAAATTACAAAAATTGCCTTTCTGCAGGAACAGTACAGTATGGTGAAAAGCAAGTAGAAAATTACAGGAACTCTCCCTAATGTATTTCATTTGAAGAGTCCAGAGCCAGACTCAAGGTGGGCACTGCAAGATCTTTTCTCACCAAATTATTTAGCAATAGTGTGTGGTCCACTCCAACACGAGAGATGTGGGCTGGGTCCTCTCTGAATGAGAGAAGCAAGGCCTAGAGGCATAGACAGGCCAGGGAAAGACTTGAAATACTCTAAAATATCTTCTCCTCCATAAATCCAATAGATCTGAAGGGGATAATGTACAAAAACACACAAATAAAAAACCACAGGCACCAGATTTTCTCTAAAACCTACTATCAACTGTTGGGCCTCAGAACTTCCAATCCAATTGATTTTCTTCTTGGTGCAGAAGGGAATGTAGTACTTGTGCATAAACAATGAGAGCACAATAAAGGTTTCAAGGGCAGACTGACGTCTTCACTGAACCAGTGAGACTCAGGCTCAGCATTCCTTTGTTTCTTGGAAAGGGTTACTCTTTTTTGGTGGATTTAAAACTGGAAGGATTAGGTGTAGTGATGCTGGTAACTCTAAATAACAAAAGAATACTACTGTGTGGAACATTTCTAAATATAGCTAAATGCATGATTACAAAGAAATGTTCTTTAAATTACCAAAGGTAGAAATAGTGAAGACTGTGTTCAATGACTACAATATAATAAACTAGAAAAGAATGAGTGTAAACAAAGAGAAGGGCAACCTCTTAGGATTTCACAAAGCACTTTTTATATAGCTTCAACATCCAAAAGGAAATAAAAATCACAATTGTAAATGTATAGAATATAAGAATATAAATACTTAATATCAACCTTGGGATGTGTATATTTCATGAATAACAAGAAAGAAGGAAAGAAACAGAAAATAGAAACAAAAGAATAAAGGAGAACAAATCTTAGAAATATAAGAATATAACAAAAATAAAAAGGAAAATTCATAAATTGAAAAAGAATAGATTGATATAGTAATTAATTAATGTAAAATATGAAATAAATAAATTACTAACTAGTCCAATTTTAAAAAAGCCAAATTCACAAAATGTCACACCACAAGTTACATACCAGAATGGCTACAAATTGCAAGATCAGTAATAAAAGATTTGGGGAAAGTTTTAGAGAGACAGAAAGTCTCATACACTGCTTGTGGTAATGAAAATGGGTATGACAATGTTGGAAAACTTTATCAGCATCTACTGAAACTGAATATATGCATACCTGATGACCCAGCAATTTCATACTTATATTCTTAAAAAAAATTATATATATATATGTATATGAGCCAAAAGACATATACAACAATATTTATAGCAATATTATTTGTACTAGCCCCAAACTGGAAAACCCAAATGGTCACCAAAAGTGACTTGATCTTTCTTATAGTGTGATGGACTCATTACAATGAATATTATATAAAAATAAAAAGGAGAAAATTACTACTATATAATATTATGGATGAATAATTGAGGAGGTAGAAGTTAAAACAGCTGACCTAGGATACATTCACTCTCTTTACCAGGGAAAGAAAAAAAGTAACTAGGTCCAATTTTCTTATAAAGATGCTAGTAGTCTTCTCTCCTGGGAAATAAACTAGTGATATTTGCTACAAGGACGGTGTTTTTCGCTTGAATATCTTTAACAGTATGTTCCTGACTAAGAATTATGTGCTGAGTTACTTCAGTCATGCCAAATTCTTTGTGACCCCATGGACTGTAGCCCACCAGGCTTCTCTATCCATGGGAATACTGGAGTGGGTTGCCATTTCCTTTTCCAGAGGATCTTCCTGACCTAGGGATCTAACCCAAGTCTCCTGCATCCCCTGCAGTAGCAGGCAGATTCTTCATCACTGAGCCACCTGGAAGCCATTTCTTTATTTCAAAATGATATATTGACATGTAACTAGCTAAAGGCTAAAAGGGAGCATAGTGTTATTCTAGAGTCCAGGGCAGTATCTGGCACATAAACAGGTATTTCTACAACACTTTTGTGGGTAGCACAGACAACTGAAGCTTTTGTAAGGTATCTACCCAAATGTAAACGTACATAATTCTTAAACAACAACTCCGCCAGCAGGATGTTACCATAAAGTAACATTTTTGTGTACTCATATGCATACAGATAATACAGGAGCGTTGGCTGTAACAGCAAATATAAGGAACAACTTATGTCCTTAGTAGAACAATGGGTAAACTAACTTTGGTCTTTTGATATGATGGATATAATAGGAAACTGCAGCAGAAAGCATCGAGTACCAGCCAAGAGAAGTTCAACTCTGGTTTCTTTCTAACAGTCTCACAATCTGCAAGTTTGCTTTCTGTTCTCTCTCTCACTTCCTTCCACATTATCTCCTCCTCCCTACCCCTTCCCTACACTCCGGAGAGCTCTAGATATGCAACTTTTGACCATGGTTGTGTTGTAGAAAACAATTTGGGGCCGGTTTTCAGTCTGGGCCTCCTGAAGATAAGGACAAGTATAAAAAATTATTGTTCCTTACAAGAATGGGTCAGCTAGAACACTCCAAATGTGAAGGGTTATCTGGTTAAACCTACCTTCACATCGAAAAACTTCACAGTCCTGGAAGGAAATATAACGTTGATATAGTCCAAGTTTTTTCACTGTATTTATACTAAAATGCATCTTTTTTTCCTTTAGATGTATACTGACTTCATGATTTCCATAATCGTCTTCATCAAACAACATAGGTAGTTTAAAAGGTCCTATTTTGCATTTTGTAATTATAGACTCTTGAAAGACAAAAACAGTGATTAAATAGTTTCCTTCCCCATAGTTCTTTTGCATATATGCCCCAACAATTTGATCGTCACTGTAAACCACTGTTAGAGTAGGTCCTTATTCAGAGCATATCTTAAGCAAACTGTTAGTGGAGAATCCATGGACACTGGCCTTATAGAGAAGACTAAACTGCTTTTCTCCAAAGTAATTTTTCAGCTTTTTCTCTTGCCTCCATGTCAAATGAGTTGCCACTGCCATACTTCTCAATCTGGTGGAAAATCAAATATTTTCCATTAAATATTGAAATTTTTACACTGCCAAAATATTCGCATTAATGCTTCTTATTTACTTTGCATTACAAATGAAACGTGTAAACAGAGAGTGAATAAATAGCAAGAAAAGTCATTAGCTAGTTTTTCATTCTAAATGATTTCTTTTTTAATTAAAAAAAAAAAAGACTACTGTTTGCAAGAGGCTAGGGAAAGTGGAAAGCCACAAATCATTTACCTGTTTGGAGAATCTCTTGGGCTGAAGCTGAGGGTAGCTGCTCTGTCTGACAGCTAGGCAGGCACAAAGTGGGAGCAGAAACTCTCTCAGCAAACTTGAGGCTTTGGAGAGGCAGAGAAAAGGAAACTGAAACAGTGAGGTCCAGCCCAGTTGGCCTGAGTGCTCACTTCCTCTAGTAAGCAAGCATAAAGGGATCCAGCTAATTTTAGATAGTGAAGTCATATAAAAATTATATTAGAAGAATCAAGGAATTGAAGTCAGAAGGAAGGAAACCTAATAGCTCACTACTTTTTTTAATGACTTAAAAAAACTTTTAAGGACAATTCAGTTTCTATATATGGACACACAAAAAAAGTAATGTCTATTCTACCTCCAGCATGCATCTCAAATGTGTTCATTTCTCTTCATCTCTGCTATCAATATATTCTAAACCAACAAATGTAGATTGTTTAAACAGTTTCCTAACTGGTCCCTCTACTTTTCTGTTTTCCTCCTCTCCAATACTGTCTCTTCAATGGAACCAGTCATTTGTAATATATACACTGAATAATGTAAATTTCACACTAAAACCCCTTCTCTGATTCCACATTGCTAGGGGTCACAAACCTATGTCCTATAGGCTGAACACAACCTGCAGGTTTGTTTTGTAGGGCCAACACAATTCCTTTTCCTTCTTCTGTTTCCCGCCCCCACCCTTGGTGGGAATGGGGTGTGGGAGTAGATTTTAAGTTTGAATATTTTTATATCACTCCATTTCCGATTGTCCTCATAAATCGACTAATTCTGGTTCTGAAAATCTTTAATTGTTTGCCTGGCCCAAAGAGGAATTTAAGTTTTTTATTCTATTTTAAAAAGCACTATAAAATAAAAATATTTTAGATAGTTTTAGGTATTACTTACTTAGCTAAAAAAGTACCAGAAGCTATCATACGCTTATTATTTACAAGGCACTATCCATGTTATCTCATTTATTCATTTCAATAATCTTGTGGGAAAAATGCCAATCTTGCCTCCAGTTTTCAGATAAATAAACTACTGGAGTTCAATAACTTGCCAAAATTCACTCTGCTGCTAAATTTTAGAGCCAAGATTTGAACCATAATCTAAGGGAAAGCAGAGTGATAGGGATTTCACAGGTACATACATTTGTCAAAACCAATCAAATTATATACTTCCAACAGGTGCAATTTTATGTATCTCAATTATATCTTATTATAGCTGCTAAAAAAGTCTACAAGTTCCAAACAATATATTATCCTGTTTTCCCCTGTATAGTAAAAAAGTGTGTAATACCTGCCTGGCCACATTTTAAGGGCAATGACATACATAGATATACTTAAATAATTCATTAACATGAAAATAAAAGTAAGAAAAATAGCATCATAAGATCACTGGTCTTCCACTCAAGTAGATGCTCTTTTGCAAAAGCCGTTAATTATCTGTCAACTCCAGAGTCTCTAGCTATGCAAGGTAAGCTTCCTATTTGTGTTGTGAACTAAGATTCTTTCATTCATTCTTTCTTTCAATATTTATCAGATACCTACTATGTGCCTCCACTGTTTTGGAGGCTAAGGATATAGTAGACAAGACAAAGTTCCTGCCTTCATAAAACTATAGTCTTTAGAAGGCAGGCAATCAACACAAATGTTATCTAGAGAAAAAAGTTGTGAGGAAAATAAATGGGAATAACAGGGAGAAGAATGACGAGGGGTATCTGCCACTTCAGATCATACAATAAGGGAGTGTCTGAGGAGACGGTGTTGGAGAAGAGACCTGAGTGAAGGTGGGGAGAGTGCCCTGGATATATCCAGAGGAAGGGCATTGTAGGCAGAGGAGGGCAAGCAAAACCTTGGATGGTAGTAAGGAGGACAATATGGCAGCAGCAAAGTAGGTATGGAAGAGATTAATGTCAGTGATCACTCTAAAAAGAGAAAGAATATAGGGCAGCAAGAAGGCTACTGCAGTATCAGCTGAGAAGTGAAGATCACGTAGCTTAGTGTGATAGTGAGAGAAGCAATGAAAAGTGGTAAGAATCAGCATACATTTAAGGATGACAAAAAAGCTGTGAGAACTTACTGTAGGACTGGTTGTAATCGGAGGGGAGCAGGAATGGAGGACAAAGGAGAATTTACCCTTTGGACAAAGGAGAATGGCCCTCACAGATTTTTGTCTAGAGAATGGGTAAATGATGGAACCACTTGTTGAGATGTGTGCACTGGAAGATTTCTTGAGGGGATATCATATATTCTGTCTTATACTGAAATCTGTAAGTGCATAATACAGCTAGTTGGGTTTATGAGATCAGAGACTAGGAAAGAGGACCAGGTTGAACATTGCATTTGAGAATCATCAGCAAAAATCTACATCTATATATCTGGAGAAGGAAATGGCAACCCACTTCAGTATTCTTGCCTGGGAAATCCCATGGACAGAGGACGTGTTGGGCCACTGTCCATGGGGTCTCAAAGAGTCTGACATGACATAGTGACAAAACAATGGCAGCATTATCTATATTTATCTATCTAGAAAGCTAAAAGTGACCTTAAATTAATGAGAGCAGTCCTATAGACCAAAACCTGCCCCTGTCCCCAACATCTAAAGGTCATATTTATTAAAAGGGTCTACCCAAGAAGACTCAGAATGTGTGACCAGAAAAGAGAAAAGCCAGTAAGTTATCCCAGGAGCCACGTGAAGAATGAGAAAGTGACCATCAAATATTCCACCATCAAATAGTGGAATACTTTCCTTCAGAGCCTCCTGCATTTAGACATCTGAAAAGGCTCACTCTGTCTCTCAGGATCTGGGAATTTGAGGAAAAGTCTCATCTCACTGTGGCAGAGGGCATTAGGGTAGTGACGACTATCTCTTGTTAGGGAAAGGGTGGAAATTGTTAGAGAAGGTAGCTCTGCTGCAAATAAAGAAGTGAATCTTCAGGGAAGCTGTCTCCACAGAGCTGAGTGAGGCTGTGGTCTGTGCTAGCAACGGAGAGGGAGGCCTCCCGCCCTGGCCTCAGTGAATGGCTCAAGGGTAAGCAGCTCCATTTCCTTCTTTTCATGCTCAGTAGAGAGGACCTCTTGTCAAACTGGCCAGTCCTGAGAGTCCTGAGTTCTTAGTGCATCAGAGACCACTGCTTTATATGCTGTTGGTGATAAGGAAGACTTTAAAGCTGACTCCAGCAAAGAAACATGGGAAGGTTTCTGAAAAGCTGTGATGGGAGGAGCAGCCTCGAGTGGAGATTATTTGATAAAACAAAAGGTTTTCAGAGATTAAGTGAAGTTGCTCAGTCGTGTCCAACTCTTTGGAACCCCGTGGACTGTAGCCTAACCAGGCTCCTCCATCCATGGGATTCTCCAGGCAAGAATACTGGAGTGGGTTACCACTTCCTTCTCCAGGGGATCTTCCCGACCCAGGGATTGAACCCTGGTCTCCCGCGTTGCGGGCAGACGCTTTAACCTCTGAATTGCTGCTGCTGCTGCTGCTGCTAAGTCACTTCAGTCGTGTTCGATTCTGTGCGACCCCAAAGACGGCAGCCCACCAGGTTCCCCCGTCCCTGGGATTCTCCAGGCAAGAACACTGGAGTGGGTTGCCATTTCCTTCTCCAATGCATGAAAGTGAAAAGTGAAAGTGAAGTCGTGTCCCGTTCTTAGCGACCCGATGAATTGCAGCCCACCAGGCTCCTCCGTCCATGGGATTTTCCAGGCAAGAGTACTGGAGTGGGGTGCCATTGCCTTCTCCGAACCTCTGAATTAGTGAGGGTTAAATGCAGTGTGACCACTGTCTGAACTTCTCCTATGTTCAGGTTCCACTGTTCCCTGAAAGGCTCATAAGAGCAGAAGATCCTCTCTTCTTGCATTTTGAAGACTGCCTTAAGAACTCAGACTGGAGTGAGGGGTCTAATATCACCTGGAAGGTAGCTGTCAGCTCAAATAGAAAGATGGGAATCTTAGGGTAATACTTGACACATTCCTTGTATGATCAATGAAACCAAAATAAGTAAGGCTTAGCTCTATAAAAATAAAGAAAACAAGACATGGAGATGGCAGGAGAAATCATTTGATAGTCAGCACTAACCTCACATTCTTTTGAAAGATGCTGTAGAACTGGCATTTATCAAGATGTAGTTTCAAACCTGCCCTCCTACCCACTCTATACACACACATTATTGCTCAGTTGCCCAGTCATGTCCGACTCTGCAACCCCATGAACTGCAGCTCACCAGGCCTCCACATCCCTCACCATCTCCCAGAGTTTGCCAAGTTCATGTTCATTGAATCAGTGATGCTGTCCAACCATTTCAACCTCTGATGCCCTCTTCTCTTTCTGCCCTCAATCTTTCCCAGCATCAGGGACTTTCCCAATGCGTCATCTATTCACATCAGATGACCAAAATACTGGAGCTTCAGCTTCAGTATCAGTTATTCTAGTGAATATTCAGGGTTGATCTCCTTTGAGATTGACTGGTTTGATCTCCTTGCTGTCTAAGGGACTCTCAGAAGTCTTCTCCAGCACCACAGTTTGAAGGCATCAATTCTTTGGCAATAACCCCATAACTTAGACAG